CACGACAAACTCCTGCGTCAAAAGGGCTTACGGTGTGAGAAGACCATCGCGTCAATGACGACTACTTTGACAACCAGTTGTGGAGAGTGGAGGACCTGAATGAGACCAACAATAACCACAATTTCCTGGCGCTCAAAGTGGCCAGTATTGTGTACTACCGGCGCTCCACGTTTACCGACTCCGTGGCAGCCCTACTCCACGAGGCCGCCACCACGCCCTCCCGCAAACCTCCCGCACGCCCTCAATATGGGCGGCTCCTGTCGTGACCGATGTTTGTGCGCTGGCTGTTAGAGAAGTGTCATTCAGACCTTGACATCAAAGACATGGAGTCCGGTCGGACACCATTACACAGAAGTATATTTTACAGTCAGATCAGTTGCGCCAAAACGCTCATCGACTTCGGCGCCAACGCCAATGTTACGGATCGCGACAATTGTACCCTCTGGACCTACTAATGCTGGACAGACCGCCGTATATGGGATACACCCGTCAAGATCTGTGCGGTTGCGATGTCTGGGGAGCCAATGATAACTTCAATTGAGGCGTTGAGTCGGAACAGAACCGTCAGACGTTGGAAGTGATCAATACGTTCAGAAGGGAAGCGATTAATGTGAAAGAGGTGCTGATCCTCGAGTCACACCATATACCTGTCAAACGACAGAGTCTACAGCTGTGGTCACAGACACGACTCCGAGGGCCTGTGCATCGCTCCCAAACTGATCCACATATCAAATGAGAGCACGTTTTGCGAGGCGATAGCTGGAGGTCAGAACCACTTCTTACTACTGATTAGACATCTGAAAGAGAATAAGCAACACATCTATTCGTGCGGTTACAACGCGTACCACGTGTTGGGACACATCCCGGTGCCCGATAAGTTACTGACGCCGGAACTAATATCGATGAGAACCTAAAACTTGGATCTAATTACAAGTTGGGAGACATCAGAGGCATAGGCGCCGACAGATATCACGCGCTTTTCGACACCAAAGACGAGTTTTTCACATTTGGTCGGAATGTGGGCCAAATCGGGCACTCGAAGGGCGACCGACTGCAGTCCATTCCCGATAAGGTGTCGGCGCTCGCCTTCAAAGACGTCTCCTTTGAATTCAAACATATGGTGACCAGCGATGGCGCGATTGTCTGCCACACAGATAAGGGCGGCGTCTTTGTTCTGCACGAATACCAGTGCCGGAAAGTGGCCTCAAAGCAGTTCGACGTCAAACACCTCTGTGTTGTCGGCGGACATCTCCTGCTCGCCTGTCTGCAGTGGGCGTAAGCGCTGCTGAGCGCTCATCTCGAGGTCTAGTACTAGAATTGGTGTTACCTATCCTATATGGTGACCTTACCTAGCCTAGGGCTACAATCAAGCTACAGACCTTGTCTTTGGACGAGAGCTGTCTGTGACTCATATTTTGCTCAATGTGTCCGCCGTTGGAATCGTGACAAAAGACGGCGAAGTATTCTTCGGAAGCGTTTCCAACAGAAAATCTAAACAAAACACAGACTCTAAGAAAGTGAACGCATCGACGGTTAGCTCTAAGCCTCTGTCGATTACACCTCCGACCAAACCCACGACAAGCAATAGGAATGTGTTTCCAGTGAAGTCCTTCACGACATTCATCAATCGCGACGAATGTCCCGCCATTCGTCTCAAGAAACAGCACTTTACTCATAGAGCGGTCGTTCCCTTCTCGGACCACAAGAACATAAACTTCGCGTGTCTTCAGTCGTCGCCGAAAATATGTCTCTTAGAGACGGTTACCAACCCATACTCATTATTATTGAATATAGTTCTATCCAACTACCAAGCTTATATGTCTCATATGAGGTCTTTATAAATAAAATGATTTAATGTTAATGTGACAAATAGGGATAAACCTGGGTTATTAATAAATATAGTTCTGGTAAAACTACCAAGCTTATATGTCTCATATGAGACCTTTATAATTAAAATGATTTAATGTGACAAATAGGGATAAACCTGGGTTATTAATAAATATAGTTCTATCCAACTACCAAGCTTATATGTCTCATATGAGATCTTTATAATTAAAATGATTTAATGTGACAAATAGGGATAAACCTGGGTTAATATTAAATATAGTTCTAGTCAAACTACCAAGCTTATATGTCTCATATGAAATCTTTATAAATAAAACGATATAATATGACAAATAGGGATAAACCTGGGTTATTAATAAATATATTTCTAGCAAAACTACCAAGCTTATATGTCTCATATGAGGTCTTTATAAATAAAATGATTAGATCTGACAAATAGGGATAAACCTGGCTTAATATTAAATATAGTTCTATCCAACTACCAAGCTTATATGTCTCATATGAGGTTTTTATAAATAAAATGATATAATGTGACAAATAGGGATAAACCTGGGTTATTATTGAGGTCTTTATAATTAAAATAATTAGATTTGACAAATAGGGATAAACCTGGCTTAATATTAAATATAGTTCTACCCAAACTACCAAGCTTATATTTCTCATATGAGGTCTTTATAAATAAAATGATATAATGTGACAAATAGAGATAAACCTGGCTTAATATTAAATATAGTTCTACCCAAACTACCAAGCTTATATCTCTCATATGAGGTCTTTATAATTAAAATAATTAGATTTGACAAATAGGGATAAACCCGGGTTAATATTAAATATAGTTCTACCCAAACTACCAAGCTTATATGTCTCATATGAGGTCTTTATAAATAAAATGAT